CATTGGTTAGCGTGAAACGCGCTGGCGTCGCGGACGAGTTGCAGTTTGACCCGTCACTTCGTATGCGGTTCGAAATGTCAATGCACCTGGACACCCCAAAATGAAAATCTCGCGCGGAAAAAAGTTCCGCTCGTCAAAACCCCATACGAACCAGGCGGTTGAAGACACAAGTGTACAGACATGTTTGAAATCCAATCAAACGCGCACAACTGTAAATTTCGCCAGGTCGCGCAGTTTCGTGATACATCCAATTTTTGTGACGCGAGATTGCTAAAATGTTCAGACGCGACTCGGGAAAATGGTGGTTGAGACACAAGTGTCTCCACAGGAATGTACCCTTACTAGTAGCAGCAGGATATATATACGAAACCCTAAATCGGGTTGTACTCGCTATAGAGTACCCCACTGCAGGCTAGACACACATTAATATTCTGACACACCCCCATAGTCAAAGTGGGGTACAATCAACACAACAAGCAGGCAGAGCAGTAGTTCACAATTATAAGCAGCGCTAGAGACTACCGCAGAGAGCAAGTGAGGAGGAGGAGAAACTGTGGGGGCGAGAAGATGAGAGACGACGGCTGAAGCTGCAGACACACAGGCAACAGGAGTGCGCAGCACTGTCGCTACCAGGCTAAACCCGGACTACACGGCGACAGGCGCTGCTGGCTCGCTGTGCTCCCACGAGTGCTCACACTGTGGCTACCGGGCGCAGAGCCCCGGACTACTCAGGCCACAGGGGGTCGTGGCTCTCTGGACTACCAGGAGTGCACACACCATGGCTACCAAGCTCAGAGCCCCGGACTACTCAGGGCACAGGGGGTCATGGCTCTCTGGACTTCAGGCGCTGCGGACGACAAGTCGGCTACCTCCGGTCAACCTCCCCCAACTGTCCCACACCCCTTTCACACACTCCCTGCTGAACCACTAGCACCGCTCACACGCCACCCCCCTAGTACCACTCCGACGGCTCCAACACATCCACCCCCCTCAGCGGCAGCTGCAGCAGTGGGAGACGGAGGAGGAGGAGGAGCAGGGGACGGCTCACACACACGGCACCCCCATACTCTCCACCCCCAAACCCTAACACAGGAACGCGGGCAGCAGCGGGGGTGGGGCGCGGTCAGAAGCTCGGGGGACGGCGTGCGGCATAGGGGAAGAAGGTACGGGCCGCTCACGGGCCTGGCGCAGGCCGGACGAACCGCGCGCGGGCTGCCCGAGCCGCGCGCGGGCCTGGCGCAGCCCGTACGGGCCGCGCGCGGGCCTGGCGCAGGCCGTACGGGCCGCGCGCGGGCTGTACGGGCCGCGCGCGGGCCTGGCGCAGCCCGTACGAGCAGCGCGCGGGCCTGGCGCAGGCCGTACGGGCCGCGCGCGGGCCTGGCGCAGGCCGTACGGGCCGCGCGCGGGCTGTACGGGCCGCGCGCGGGCCTGGCGCAGGTCGCGCGGGCCGCTACGGGCGACGGGGGGCGACGCGCGGGTCCCCGGGGGCGCTGCGACGGGCGACGGAGGGCGACGCGCGGATCGACGGGGCAGAAAACCGCCGCGCGCCTCGGGGCGTGCGGCGGGCAGGGCAGAAAACCGCCGCGCGCCCCGAGCGCGCGGCGGGAAGAAAAAATCGCTGCGCGCTCCGAGCGCACGGCAGTAAGAAAACGGCGCGCGCCCGGGGCGCGCTACAGGCAGTAGAGCAGCGGAAGCATCGGGTGGGGCCCACCCACAGGATCGACCCAGGAGGGTCGACCTGCTCTGATAGCATGTCGAAATAGCTGGCAAAACAGGAAACACGAAAGAGGGCTTTTTACTAGCAGCAGCAGGATACATATACGAAACCCTAAATCGGGTTGTACTCGCTATAGAGTACCCCACTGCAGGCTAGACACACATTAATATTCTGACAGGACCTACCAAATTTGCCTCTGCAGGTGTTCTCCATGACGTGGCGTCCCGGGCAGTGGTTGCCGAAGTGGCACCTTCGCAACATCCACACTCATTATGAGGAACTCTTTTTCAAGAAGTACGGAAAATATTTCTAAGTAGTTTAAAAAGTTTCCATTTATAAGACTTATAAGACACCCTAAACCATCCCGTTTACAAGATAACTCAAGCATTTTTGCCCGTGTACGAGATAAGACATATATGTCTTATATCCGGGCAATGACGGTAAGGGTTGCATCCTAGTACTTGTACTCATCCTTGCATCCTAGTCAATCATTCTTGCCTATTATATCTGACATGGTATTCACAGCAGGTCCCTCCGTAGGACCCTGCCGTTAGGGCCCACCAACCGATCGTAACTGCCCTGCCTTCACGGCGTCCTGCACGCTGCCCTGCCCTGGCTTGCGCTAGGAGCTACCCGCGCACGCAGCTGCCCGCGACCTGCCCGGTTGCTGCCCTGCCCTACAACCCGCGCGCCGCCCAGGGCTCTTGCTAGGATTTGAGGGCGTCTGATTTACGGGTATCAGACAATTCCCCAAGGCAAGAAAAAGGTTTTGTCTGATTTAGATTGGGAAATCAGACGAATATAAAAAACTGAGTCTGAAAATCATACCATCAGACCAAAATGGTCTCATAACGAGAGCCCTGCCGCCCTGCCCTGCAGCCAGCTCGCCGCCCTGCCCTGCTGCCTGCACGCCTTGCAGCCCACGCGCTCCCATTCTTGCGCAGCCCTTCAGCCCGCGCGCCGCCCTGCCCAGCAGCCCGCGTGCTGCCCTGCTCTGCCGCCTGCGTGACTGCGCTGCCCGTTCCCTACGCGCCTTCCTGCCCGTGTGCCCTGCTGCTTGCCCATGCCCTGCTACCCACGCACCCTACTGGCCTCCAGATCCACTCCAACAGTCGCCACTGCTGTTGCAGCCACAGCGACTACCGCTACTACTACAGCTGCAGCTACAGCAGTCACTTCTGACGCTCTTGCACCGCTATTACTGACTGCCACTACTTGTCATGGCCACTATAACGGAGCCTTGCGGTGGACAGCTGCAGCAGCAGCGTTAGCCGGAAAATCTATCGACGCAGCAACTTTGAGAGTGGGTTATTCGGCGAGGATGCTCTGGTGCTGGAGCTTGGGATTTTGGAGGCACTAGACAGCAACGGCAGTCTCTTGCCACAGCAGCTTCATGAGTGGGTTATTCAGAGAGGCCGTCCTGGTGGTGGAGGTTATTGTGGTGGAGGTACTGGACAGCAACGGCAGCAGCGTCAGCAGGAGACCCTCTCACCGCAGCAGCTTCGCGAGTAGGTTTCTCAGCGACGTGTCCCTGGTAGTGCAGAGACTACTAGTCTAGGTGCCTGTGGAGGCTTTGCACACCTTCAGACTTGACTCAGTCGCGACTCGCTACTAATTCCGCGATTCACAGTCACACCTCTCACTGCACCTTTCCTGGTCTCTTTGGCTGACCCCTCTGGGGGCCCAGCCGTAACACGTGCCTCCGTCGTTCTCCTGTGTCCGGCAGCCCCCTCATCTCCCTCTCAGGTTTCCACCTCCACTCGTTCTCTAAGAACTTGGTGAGCAACGCTGTTTTTTAGGACCATTTTGTCACTGTGACTATCCCTGCAATTGAGCTTGTGGCGATCTGTACGGACTGAGCACCTCGCCACTTTCACTTGGAGGCCTGGGCCTGGCCTGTACACACTGACCACTGAGGGTACAAACCTGTGACGACACAAATGGCTCAATGCCCCATTTCCCGAGTCGCGCCTACCAAAATTGCCAATCTCGCGTCTCAAACGTTGGATATATCGCGACACTAGGCGATCAAGCGAAATTTCCAGCTATGCAAATTTGATTGGGTTCCAGAAATGACTGTACACACGTGTTTTCAAACACTTGGCTGGGGTGTGGTTTTTTTGCGCGGAATTGTTTCCCGCTCGAAATTTTGATTGTGGAGTGTCCAAATACATCGACATTTCGAACCGCGCGCAAATGTTTGAGAGTGACGGGTCAGTGTACAACTCGTCCGCGACGTCAGCGCGTTTCACGCTGACCAATAAAAAATACAGTAGTGGTTGCAGAAACACGATTCGCGTTTGGGACACAATACAGTTTAGGCTGTTTTTGGGTGTCACAAAGTGATTGAGACACAAATGTCGACACAGGAATGTACCCTGAGTCTACACGGATAGCTGCGTCGGGTCAGATAGTTGCGTCGAGTCAGTTAGCTGCGTCTTATTCGTGTCGGCTACTCACGCACTAGACTCTGCTCTGGCACCACCGTCTTGGTCACCCCTCCCTGCCTCGCCTGCGTGGCATGCACTCCCGTCTCCTTGCCTTTGGGCTCCCGAGGTCCTGCCCCCACTCCCACTCTCGCTTGCACCGCCGTACCTTCCCTGCGTCGAGGGGCGGCAGCGTGCTGCTCTGCCGACTCTCCACATGGACGGGCCCGGCCCGCGTCCATGGATAGGACCAAAAGCGTAACTTCATCCTAGTTGTTGACGACTACACGCACTACACCACGGTCTTCCCCTTGCAAAACAAGGTGGATGCCCTTGGTGTTTTGATCCCCTGGATCACCGATGTTTGTCGTCAGCTGAGAGCACGGTTTTAGCAGGAGCTCCAGGTCTTGCGCCTATACTCTTACAGAGGCCATAAGTTTTCCTCCCGCCTCCTTGAGGTCATTTGTTTTGCCGAGGGCATCGTCCAGCCGTTTGCACTTCCGGCTTCTCCACAGCATAATGGGATTGCTGAACGTCGCATTGGTCTGATAATGGAGGTTGCTTGCACCTCCATGATCTATGCGGCTGCTTCCCATGTTTTGTGATCGTTTGCGGTCTGATACGCCGCGCATCAGCTCAGCCTCTGGCCCCGTGTCTCTGCGCCAGAGTCCTCGCCTACACCGCATTGGATGCGGGAGGTTGGCGATGCATCGGCGTCCCGGGTCTGGGGCGCGCTCTCCCTTGTTCGCAATACCACCGCGGGCAAGCTCTCTCCTCGCACTCTCCGCTGCGTCTTCCTTTTCTTCCCCACCAACGCCCTGCCCTGGCAGTTTCACCACCCTGCGTCGTGCCGGGTCATGTCCGCACAGGACGTCACGTTTGGCGAGTCAATCCGCTTCTACCGTCTCCACCCGCATGCGTCTTCTCCAGTCCCCCCGCTGCCCCTCTTTCTAGTCCTAGGTCCCCCCCTGGGTAGACCCCCTCCCCCCGACGGGTCGTACTCCCTCAGGTGTGTCTCAGGTCGACCCACCCCCGTTGGTTGATCCTTTAGTGGTCTCCTCCGACACCTCTGGCCTACCTGAGGGGCTTGACATTGTTGCTAACGATATGGCGACCACTCGCCGCTCTCCGCGCGTGGAGACCCCTCCTGGTTTTCTGCCTCGGCCGTCTTTGCCGCCTCCGCAGCGTGTTGCTGTGAACTCCGGTGCTCCTTGGGGTGGTGACATTGGAGGTGTGGACTCTAGAGGTGCTGGTCCAAGGGTTGCTGAACCTGGGGGTGCTGGTTCTGGGGTGCTAGTTCTGTGGGTGCTGGTTCTAGGGGTGCTGACTCTGGGGGTGCTGCGAGTCCTTGTTGTGATGGGGTCGTTGGTGCTCCTCCTGCCTGGCGTTGGACCACAGAAGCAGTCTCGTCGACAAGAGACCCTCTCACCGCAACAGCTTCGCGACTGGGTTGTTCGCGTTCGCGCAACAGCAGTCGGGTTGCTGGAGCTTGGAGTACCGGTACTAGAGCTGGAGGTGCTGGAGCTGGAGGTTTTGGAGCCGGAGGTGCCGCTCGTACGGGAGGTGTTGGGGGTACTGGAGCTGCTGGTGCTGGAAGTATTGGATTTGCTATTACTAGAGGTGCTGCAGCTGCTGGTGCTGGAGGTACTGGAGCTGGAGGTGCTGGAGGTGCTGGAGCTGCTGGTGCTGGAAATGCTGGGGCTGCTGGTGCTGGAGGTACTGGGGCTAGAGGTGTTGGAGCTGCTGGAGCTGCTGGTGCTGGAGGTGCTGGAGCTGCTGGAGCTGCTGGAGGCGCTAGAGGTGCTGGAGTTACTGGTGCTAAAGGTGCTGGAGCTAGAGGTACTGGAGGTACTGGAGCTGCTGGTGCTGGAGGTGCTGGAGCTGGAGGTTCTGGAGGCACTGGAGCTGGAGGCTCTGGTATCGTGGGTGCTGCGCTGCGACGACCGTTTTTCTACTCGCAGCAGTAGTCGTACCTGCCGCCGCTCGCCTCGGCACTCCGTAAGGTTCATAATCTTCCGTCTTCCACTGGTCTTACTACACCTCTCTAGTGTCCTCCACCTGACCAATCACAGCCGCAGTTATTGCCTGGCTCTCCACTGCCTGCTCCTTCTCCTTACCCTGGCCAGACAGGTTCTCTGGCAGAGCATCGTGAGCCTGAGTCTCGTCCTGCCTCCCCTGTTTGCACTGTTAGTCGGGCTTGTTGTCCTCGTCCTCCACCTGTTTCCAGCACGCACACCATGGCACTTCGTCCTTCCTCAAGTCCATAGCGTGTTGCTCTGCCGTCTCCTCTGCAACCTCTCTTCCAGACATTCCTGACCCTGAGTCTGACCTTACACGTGCTGCTAGTCCCATTGTCACTCGTCTCCTGGCCACCTTTGTCAATGACCCTTCATTTGTGTCTACTGTTGCGTTTGCCTTAGTCAATGAGCTTGTTGACTTCCCTGCTAGCTGTCCTCTCAACTACGTTGAGAGTCTAGTTGCTGAGTCTGAGTCTGTCTGTCCTCCGTCTGTCGGGGGTGAGCTTGCCCTTGGCCGTCACGTCCTTAAGGACAAACAGTTTGAGCTTGAGTGCCTCACGACCGTTTTACCTCATCTCGCATCCATGCTACTTTGCCCTGAGGGAGACCCGGATGCACTAGACATCCCTACCCCGAGCTCTTACGCAGAGGCAATTGCAGGCGAGTACTCCTCTCAGTGGCAGACAGCCATGGACGCAGAGGTGGCTTGCTGGAAGTCCACATACACCTACGTCAACGAGGTTTCCCTCCTGGGGCTAACATACTTCGAAATTGCATGTCGAGGTTGCCCCTCTTGCCGTGCCCTGCACCTACGTCGACGAGGTTCCCGTCCTGCCTCGTCCTCCCAATTTTGGCGCGTCTCCTCCCATTTTATCCCATCCCTTCCAGTCCCGTTGCGTCCCATCCCGACCCGACCTATCCAGTCGAGTCCCCTCCCGTTCTGTCGTGTCTCGTCCTGCCCCGTCCATTCCAGTCGCGTCTCCGTCCTTTCCGCACCGTTGCGTCCCTTCCCAAACCATCGCATCCCTTCCCACACCATCGTGTCCCTTACCATCCCGTTGCGACCCTTTCCGTATTCTTTCATCCGTCATATCTCTTCCCTTGTCGCGCATGCGAATTTGCTATTGCTATGCTATCCCTTCCATTCTATTAGTGCCGCTTCTTCTTCCTGATTTTCGCGCAGGGAATAGCCGTACGATTGACCATCATGATGAGCCATCTGAACACACGCAAATCTGCATAAAGTTTTGTACAAAATAGTACTGAACAGCCATGAACAAACCCTAAAATAAGTTGTTGAAAAAAGTTTAGGCTGGAATGAAAAGCGGTTGCTCTCTCATATTACTTCAGTTGTGGTATTACGCTTGGTTCCCTGTGTGCTTTGCCTTCGTCGCACTTGGTGGTGTGTTTTGCGCGAATGCAGTTCGGTAGCCGTGAGTCAGCCTTGCCCAGCCTATTGGGGCTGCATCCAATTGCAAGTGCTCCCAACCAAACCCAACAAAGTTGCGACTCTTGAGTGGTTACCCAATTTCAAGCTTATTACACTTGGTTGGGAGTTGTTAAGTATGGGATGCGGGCTTTAACTGTCACACGGTTGGTTGTGCTCCCTGTTGTAACTCTATTCGGTGGTCGTGTGCTCGCTGAGGTGGCAGTCTCTCCGGAAAGTTGTCGGGGAAAATTCCATGGCAGGGCCACGTAGCAGCGAAACTCGTATCTGATCTTTGCTGCGTCCAAGATGACTTAATTAGTGTCGAAGAAGACGTTCATCATGAAGACCCACGATTGAACCGTCGGACCTCCGCGTTGGCTCGGGTCGAAGCAGGGCGGGTGTTGCGGCTTGAGCGGCATTGGTTTGCCAATGTCGTCTTTGCTTGTGGATGGTTCCCTCCATGCCAGGCATCGACTGGGCGGCGCCATCATTGGCTGCGCCTGACGCTGTCCCACGCTGTCGTGGTGTGACGGTGTGCCGGATGAGATAACGACCGGCTCATCCGTTTATGCAGGTGCGTTATCAGGCGTCTGTGCTGGTGCAAGTGCGTTCGTCGTTGATTGGTGCCGGGCGGAATCGAGTTCCGCCATGAGCGTCGCGATTTCGAGCGCCGAATCTTTGAGTTGCCGCACGAGTCGGTCGAGTTGCTCCTGCAACAATGTCACGAGATTAAATTCGGCCATGGCGGGGGTGTCGGGTGAGCTCGGCAGGAGCCTCGGTCGTGGCCATGCGTGCTTACATGAGACCATTTTGAGCGGCGGTGCTTGTTCGCTGAGAAACGTCCACCGCCTCGTGGGGAAGCGAAGGTGTGGTTGCGGTCCGAGAAAGACCGTAGGCTCATAATACCAAGTGTTACGGGTGCAATTAATCGAGCGAGCGAGAATTTCACTATCGAAGCAAAACAGTATATTGAGCCAAGGCATGAGCGAGGACTATGCAGCGAAGGCCACAGTGGTAACGGTAACGAACCGTGGGAGATGCGGGACAGGCCTGTGACTGAGGTTGGGACTAAGGTCGGAAATTGTCAAAGCGGAGGCCCGAAGCGCGGGTTACCACCCAAGTCCTGAGGTTGTGTTGCGATGGGTATAATGGCAGGAATGTGGTCGAGGCGAGTGTTGCGAGTGGTAATGGTGCACAGTGTGGCGAGAACAGTAATGTACACGCTAAGCAGGCATGTGGCGTAAGGAAAAGGAATGCTCCTTACAACTTTCAAGCAAAATAGATATAAAAAAGGGTACACATGATGCTCAACCCCTGCACGCGGATTTGCCCTACACCAGATGGAAATTCTGCACCCGTTTTTCTTTTTTTACCAGCCAATTGCACCCACGTTACAAGCACCCCACGCAAGTTGCAGTGATTCTAAACCAACAGTAACGAAGAGACCGAAGTCAAAATGAAGAGTCTGAAGTCACAATGTCAACGAATAAGTTACATTATTATTTTATAAGCACTTATGAATTGACGAAACCTTAACGAAATGCAAGAATCACTTGAGCGCTCTCTTCACAAGGCAACCATGTGTTGCTTAAATGAGCATCAGGTGTACCCTGTTTTCCTGTGAGGTATGTAGACTGTAGCTTTAACGCATCAGATGGTTGAACAGCCCGCACATGCTTGAGCATGTGCATCCAAATTTGGACTGAATTTTTTCCGCGGTTGGGCTGTGCTTACTTCACCTGGTTTGGCAAACGCCGTGATCTCCACGTTACTGGTTCTCTCGTCCCAAACCAACTGCGCATCCCTTCCTCGATTTCAGTTCATGTTATCCATGGACCACGCCTCAAACGCTAGCTGATATCTTATCCACAATGCTAGCGGATATATGCCTAATCCCTTTCTTATCCACACCTCAAGCCTCCTGCCTTAGGAAACAATCAGCAGTTGAGAGTTCTTTCTCGTGTCTGCTCATAAGAATACATTACAGGAGTAACGTTAGTACTAGTATCTGAGGCTCATCGACTATACTGCAGTCATCATTGTGATACGTTAATTTTGAGTTCAACGTAGCTTTATACGTCGTCATCAGTCTCTTACCTTGACCATCATGGAGCCACCCGCGCACATCCATGACCTTGCTCCAGCCGTGCCTTGCTCCATCCGTTCCTTGCTCCAACCATGCCTTCCTCCAGCCGTGCCTCACTCTAGCCGTTTCTGATTCCACTCGCTCCCAGCTCAGTTTTCTCAGTTCTCCAGCCGTTCTCTGCCTAGTTTCACCTGGCGCTCCTAGATGCTCTCGCTCCTCGCTTCTAGCTCGGTTTGCTCAGTGCTCCGGCCGTTCCTCGCATAGTTTCACCTGCCGCTCCTGGCTGTTCTCGCTCCTCGCTCCTAGCTCAACTTGCTCCATACTCCAACCTTTCCTCGTTCCATTCTCACATAGCCTACCGCTCCTGCACCCAGCTAGCCTTTCCCGTGGAGTCCACTAGAGTTCTCCAGCGGCAGGGTCAGCAGAAGAGGTAGTTTCAGCAGTGGGAACCTCGGCAGCGGTGTGTCAAACTATATGTACTGCATATTGTCTAGGCTGTAGTGGGGTAGCCCATATGGGGTACAACCCAATTAGGGTTTACTACTTGTACTCCTGCATCCTGTTAGTTCATCCATTCCTGCTGCTAGATTCTAACATGGTATCAGAGCACTAAGGTCCGTAGGACCGTTTTTTTTCGGGCCCACCTACCGCTGCGGTTACCGCGCTACCCCACGTACCTGCCTGCCTTGCCTTGCCTTGTGACGTGCTGCACTACGCGCGCCGTCCAGCAGCCCTAGCGCTGCCTCCTGCTGCCCTAGGCCAGCGCGCTGCTTCTAGAGGCCCGTAAGGCCCGCGCGCCGCCCCTACACGCCCTTCAGGCCCGCGAACAGCCCCTGCAGACCGTTAGGCCCCTTGCTGCCGCGCGCTGCCCGCACCGAGCCCGCGCAGCCCGCACCGAGCCGCGCGCAGCCCGCACCGAGCCCACGCAGCCCGCTGCAGCCGCGCGCAGCCCGCACCGAGCCGCGCGCAGCCCGCTGCAGCCGCGCGCAGCCCGCACCGAGCCGCGCGCAGCCCGCTGCTGCCGCGCGCAGCCCGCGCCGAGCCCACGCAGCCCGCGTCGAGCCGCGCGCGGCCTGCTACGGCCTCGCGAGGCCCGCGCGCGGCCCGCAGCAGCCCGCGCCGAGCCGCGCGCGGCCTGCTACTGCCTCGCGCGGCCCGCGCAGCCCGCGCCGAGCCGCGCGCGGCCCGCTACTGCCTAGCGCGGCCGCGCGCGGCCTGCAGCAGCCCAGCGCGCTGTCAGCGCAGCCCGCGCCGAGCCGCGCGCGGCCCTCTGCCTCGGCCCCGACCTGCCGCTGATGCGGCCCTGCCCTGCAGCTGCCACGACCCCGACCTGCCGCTGATGCGGCCCCGCCCTACAGCTGCCTCGACCCCGACCTGCCGCTGACGCGGCCCCGCCCTGCAGCTGCCGCTGAAGCGGCCCCGCCCTGCAGCTGCCGCGGCCCTACTCTGCAGCCGTTGTTGCGGCCCCGACGTCGCCACTGTCGTGCGCCTACTCGGCCGCCGCCCGTCGAGCGCCGACCCTGCTCGCCCGGCGAGCGCCTGCTCTTCCAGCCTTTGGTGAGCACCTGCCTGCCTGCCTGCAGGCCTGCCTGTCTGCCTGCCTGCCGGCCTGCCTGTCTGCCTGCCTGCCTGCCTGTCTGCCTGCCTGCCTGCCTGCCTGCCGGCCTGCCTGCCTGCCTGCTTGCCTGCCTGCCTGTCTGCCTGCCGGCCTGTCTGCCTGCCTGCCTGCCTGCC